ATTTTTTTAAATATAAGCAAAGTCCAAATAAAATGGAAAATAACATACAACTGTGTTTAATCCCAGCTTTGTAACCTAAACCAGTTGGGCAATCTCCCCTCCCTTTCTGTGTCCAGTACCTTTTTCATTCCATTTAGCCTCAATTTTCTCTTGTAAACATTAGGAACACTAAAGTGAGAAGTCCGCAGTACAGTGTTGACACAGTCAAAAACCAAAGGCTCTGGAGCTGCTAACAGCATCACCATGTAGGCAAGTCTGGGCATTGCTTAAATGACATGTACCTAAGGAAAACTCTAGAACAGTGGTTCTCAACTTGTGAGTTGTAACCTGTTTGGGGGTTGAAGGCCCTTTTCTCAGGACAGCCTGAGACTGTCCTGCATATCAGATACTAACGTTATGGTTCATAACAGTAGCAAAATTAGTTATGAAGTAGCAACAGAAATAATTTTATAGTTGGGGGTTACCACAGCATGAGGAACTGTATTAAAGGGTTGCAGCATGAGGAAGGTTGAGAACCACTGCTCTAGAACATCCTAGAAATTCATCTTACTACTGAGGAGAGCTGGAGGCAGAAGAACAGGTATAGCAGCACGTGCCTGTAATCCCAGCACTTTAGGAGACTGAGCAGGAAGGCTGAGAGTTCATGGCCACCTTGGGCTACATGCCACGATCTAATCTTAAAAAACAAAAACAAAAAAGGGAGAAAGGAGTCCTCTTCTCAGAAAGTTAACTACTTTTGAGAACCTTTAAAAATTAAATTTATTATCCACACTCCAGGGCAGACCTACTGCTCAGGGAGAGCTGACCAACACAAAACAGACTCCATGTTTTATGTCCTCCTGTTTTGGTTATGGTCTGGTGGTCTTTGTTGTCTTGGTTTTTTGCTTCTGTTTTTGAAGGAACACACAGAGAGAAACACAGGAGAGAATGAGAACATGAATTTGGGTAAGCATGAATTTGGGAAGGATCTGGGAGAAGTAGAGAAGAAATTTTTATAATAGTAAAAAAGTATAATAAAAAACTAATCTATATCTGTTTTTATTTTTTTAAAAAAATAAGAATTTCATACTTTTCCTTTGTAGTCATTATTTTAGGCTATTTTAAACTAAGACTTGTATACTAAAAGAGCTAGCATTCTGTTTTCTGAAGAAATCTACTCAGCACAAACAGCCGTAAGGAGACTTGTGTAGAAGGAACCAGAGACATCTTATCAGCCCCACTGCGGAGTCCACTGGTCTACAGACAGCTTTTGTTACAGCTGTACACCACAGCTGCTCGGACACCAGGGGACAGAAACGTGTCTTACCAAATTACGCTTTTTCAGCGGAAGGAAGTAGTAATAGTGGCAGAAAGAAAACATCAGTGCGTAGCACGTGAGAAGTTCGGTGTAGAAGCAGAGCTGCAGGAAGAGCCAGTGGTTGTCCTCACCCACACAGTTGTTTATCCTGGAAAAGAAGGAAACACGCACACTTCAGTAAGGTGCTCACATCAGGGTCAGGAAGGGAAGCCTCTCCCAAACCGAAAAGCCAACTACTTAAAGATCCACATTTATAAAGTGCCTTCTCCGAACTTCCAAAGGAGGCCAATTACTAAACCCTGTAGCTCCAGCAGCCCAGTGAGGCAGGAGAGCAGACACTGGTAGTCTCCTCATGTCAACGACATGGGAAGAGGAAAACAGCATTTAGGCCACTGGCCAAAGGCTATCCAGTTAGAAGAGAGTGAGGCCAAGAGGGCAAGAAGGAGAACCTCTCTCTGGCATTCCTGCCCTTCTACAGAGCACTCTAGCAAAATAGAGTAATTTGAATACTTTAGAGGAAAACAGCTCAAACTTGCTACTTGGATAGAATTGCAAGGCACAAATTTTATTTTTATATTTTTTACTTTATAAAAAAAATTGATCCTTAGCTGCTGAAAATAAAAATGTATTCAAAACCACTTATACGTACTCTCTGTCAAAACAATAGCAAAGTCTAACTAGGAAGATGATGATGCTATAATCATAAATTGTCAAGGTTGATTTAAAATTAGTAAATGCTATTGTTACAAAATTAGCATATTTTAAGATTTCATAGAAAAATCTAATTTAAAATTCCAATATGAAACTATTTTTCTCAAAATTATATAAATGTTTTCCTTTCAAAATAGGACTATACTATCACCAAGGGAGTGTGAATATATATGTGTGTGTATATGTCTACATATGTATGTATATATATTTATATAAAGATATATGTGTGTCAAGTTCAATTTGTACCTTAAATTGTTATTTTTAAGATGTGTAGTTTTGCATTAGTTTTAAAAATCAAACATAGAACTGAGCTGAAATGCCTGTGGGTGGTTATCTGAGGCTACAGAGCACATACTTGATAAACAGGACAATTCAAAGCTTTGTTATCTTCAAGAGAGGCTTTAAGAGAAGTGAGCTCATTCATGCCTGAAAAGGCTCTCAGCTATTGCTGCCCCACCCCTCCTCTCCTCCACAGGCTCCAGAACAGGCTCTGAGACAGTATCTAAGGAGCCCTGACAGGTACAGAGCACTCCCATCCATCTGTCCACCTGAGCTTAAACTATTTAGAAAGAATGCTCAGAGACAAAAACCAAAGACGTTAAAGTGTCTGAGAGCTCACGATTGACTCTGAAGCTGTGACAGTTAAATGCTGAAGTTCTGAGAACATTAAGAAGCCCCTGCTTCCAATTAATACCATAGACACCCTCACTGGGACCGAAATTCAATGGAGGAAATCCCCAGCCTAGATCTGTCAACCTTCCTTGCTAATCTCCAATTTCTGTCTACTCCCCTCTCCTCCCACCAACACCTGAAACAGACACTAGAAGCAAGAAGCCTGGGGACAGAAATATCTCAACATCACACTTCAAGTTAAAGGGTGCTTCATTTCCCCACCAACAAGCTGGTCTTTACCTCTTAAAAATATATCACTAGTATTAACAGGCACATTGCCCAGACGATGTTTTTAAACTTTAAATTATGGCATTATTCTCTTGTAAGGAAGATTAACACCCAACTGTACCATGAATATTTAATATCATTTTAGTTCATCAGGAAAACTAATACAAAAAAAGTGCTATGACTTTTCAATGTGATTATCAGTTATCTGAATGCAGATTTCACATAGTATTTTTCATTTTATTGTGGCTATAACTATCACTGAGGTTTAAAATAATTAATTGAGAACTGATCTATTTAAAATGTGAGGCACATTTTTTTGAACACTGTATGACAGAATACAGTATCTTATACTAGACTTAGACAATTAAAAAACCTCAAGTACTTTTATTTAAAATGCTTTTCTGTTTTTCTAGTCTCTGGAAATCTATTAAAATAAACAGTTATAGTTAAAAAATACAATTTAAACTAAAATCTTGCAAATTAGCAATGCTATCAAAATATAGCTATAAATAAGAGAAAGTTATAATAAAGTTATTATAAATAAGGAAAGTGAAATTGATAAGCTCATTAAAGGTGAAGTGTCTTCTTCAGCCAAATGCAGGTAAATATATTTTTTTAAGTTAAAGGGGGCTATTATATAGTTAACTTCATATATATGTGCATGTATGCCTGTACAAATATATATGCACATATTTATAAAGTGCTATATCAGTTTATTAAGGCTATAACAATTTAAATATTTAAACAAGATCCAATGTTAAAGAAGCAGACTTAAATATAGTATCTTGCTAAAAGATTTTTGTGACAGCTTTGAAATGAAATAGAGTCAGAGCATTTGTGGGTTTTTTGTTTTGTTTTTTTTTAAATCTACTTTTTAACAGAATGTCTTTAAATATTACAACAGAGCCCCCTATTGACCAAAAATATTGGCAGTTCCACAGAAACAGCTAATTAGCACTTACATATATCCAACACATACAAAATGTTAATAATATCCAACAGAAAATACTATAAAAGGCGTAAGGAGTAGAAGGGAGTTCTTAGCAAATCTGAAAAGTGTTGTTCTTCAACGAGTAAGAAAGAGGAATCTAAGCAGTGACCATTGTGGTTCAGAACCCCAGGAAGAGAAACAGCTGTTAGGTAAGTGCTTGCACACATCTGTCCATGTACCAAATGCTCTGCACAAATTGCCTCATTTGATGTGAGCACCTTAGTCCTCCTGTATATTTGGGTGTGTGTTAATTCTGAAGTTTTCTGCTCAAATGTCTTCTTGTTAGCAAAGATAAATCTCTACAGATAATTTACTCTGGAAGTTGCAAGAACCATTTTTTATTAAAAGAATATTTAATGGAATGGCCTAAGTGTTATTTTTGCTTAAAGCTGGAAGGTTCTCAGATTGTTTTTATTTTCATTAACTAATCCTCCTGCCTCAGCTCCTGAGTGCTAGGATTACAGATGTGCACTAACATGATCAGGATGATTTCACCAGTAATGCTGTTGCTGTCTATGAGCACTGAAGGTCATCTACTCACCAAGGACAGTGGTGGTCCATCCTCCTCACACAGTGGCCACAGCGGCTGCAGTGATGGGAACGCTTTGGCCTCATCAGATTACACTTGTTGCACAGCTCCCAGAGCTCCCGTTCTAAGAAGGAGAGCAGACCCATTTAGGAGGACAGCAGGAGAGTGACGGTGAGACGCAGTTACAACAGTGAGTGATGCGGAGACTCAGGATCACTCTAAATTCCACAGGCTCTTCAACTTGTTTGAGTCTCCAAAGTAATCAAGTACCTTTGCCATAACTGCTGCTACGAGTTCTGTGTTTACACATTTCTATTTTAACCTTACAAAAATAAGAAATCATTATTTCAAAGTAAATGACAGAAAGCATGGTTCTGAAAAAATCATGAGAATATAAGTAAAATCTTATAAAATTCTACAATCAATCAAAACATTAGAATTGTATATAAGTCAATTAATTTATACAAAATATTTTATCTAAGAGCAATAAAGAAGAAATAAGACTAAGTCTTAGTTTCAGTAGAAAAATAAATTGAAATCAATCTTATAAATATTTCTCTGAAGCATTTTATTTTTTAATTATTAATGAATTAATTTGAACATGTGTATTAGAAACAGGCTGGTGGTCATATTGGGTTTAGAAGACACCCAATTAAAAAAAGTGAAGGTAAGAAATATCATTAGTATATAATGCAAATAAAAAGATGAGTTTTGTTTTTATGAGACAGGGTCTTGCTACAATGCAACCCAGGCAGGCTTTGAACTGCCAAAGCTCCTGCGACAGCCTCCTAGTACTGAAATCAGCTTTGCCTATTACCCAGTTAGTAATTTCCTTTGGGGTACTGGGAACAGTCTACAGTGACAGGTTTACAGAAGTGAAAAGAAAAGGTACTTTGTTTTCACTATAAATTGTTCTAACCACATCCACAAAAACTATTTATTCATCTTCCAAGATAAAATAATTGCTTCCTTATATGAGATGCATATTTTGAAATTTTACCATTAAGAAATTCTTAAAATTTCAGCACTTATGCTTCCACTCCCTTCATAATCTGACAGTAAATGGACAGACATAGCAGTTCTCATGTGTTACCATG